ACGCAGAGGCGCGGGTCGGGAGCGATTATTCGGAAATGACGAGAAATTGCCACATAAACGGCATAAAAGTGTACGGTCGCGTTATTTTATTTGCGGTGAACGTAAAATTAAATATTTTTTAAAACTCGTGCCCGATAATGACACATTAAACGGCAGAATTTATTTGCCGAACGGCAAAAAACGTAAATAAATCGCATTAAAAAACGAGTGAGCGAATAAGTGGGTAGCAGTGGCCCGTTTAACGAGCTCGAACAAACAGAAACTTTTACCTCCTGTACAACTGCCTCTTGAAATCTAAATAACAAACATTACAATGTGATCGAGAGAATCTTTTGAGAAGTGCGAGAAGACATCAGGCCATCAAGTTTCACGCGCAGCGCGGCATCCCTTCGACTTAGCTGCTCTTCGAACCATTATTTACCTCTCGCGCACTTGCCGCGCCGCACATTTCTCTTTCTTTCTCGATGTCTCGGGGGACAAATACGGGGGCGAAAAACTCGAAATTTTATACGCACCCCCCGAGTTTTTAAAAGTTCCATTAGTGTCTAAAATATCGCCACGGGGTTTCTCGCATTTGCAAACGTGCCGCTCGTGTTTCTTTTCTTTAAGCTCTATCGCGCGCTCGCGCGGCACACCGGTGGATCCCATTCGGCGCGCACAAAGCCTCATCGTATTTTTGCAATAGACGGTTGCTTAAGCTCGCTCGCGCCCGAGACTATATCAATCCGCGCTGCACATCCGGTCATACCTAATAAAGCATTCGTTGCGTTTATTTTAAGGTCGAAAATTGAAAATTTATTCTTTCGTGAAAAATGGCCGTACTCTCGGGGCTCTCTCGCTCTCTCTCTCTCTCCCTCTCTCGAGTCGTAGAGTCGCGCGAGTCTACTCGTCGTCTTAAATGCACTCTCCTAGTCGTACATGTCTGGCAATTTGCCCGAGAACACGCGCTCTTTTCGTCGCCGCGAGCTTTTCTCTCTTTCCTTTTCTTCTTCTCTGCGCGACCAAGCGGCTGTGCGGCAGCTCGTCGACGAGCGCCCCGACTACTTACACGCTGCGCTCGCCCGAAAGCTCCGACTTTTCACTCATTGAATAAAAAGAAAGAGCCGCCGCCGCCGAGCAGGAGAGAAAATAGCAGCGACGCAGTTTCCACGTCTTGCGCAATTTCGACGTCTTTTTTTATTTGCTATGTACGAAAACTGCGCCAAAAAAGCACAGCTTCTCCATTCAATTTCTGTGTGTGAGCATTTCGCACATCCATCCGATCCGCAGTCTCTACAGTCCGAAGCAGCAGTAGCAGCAGCGGCAAGCACAGCGCTGCAGAAACAAAACGCCGGGACGATGTATAATTTACGGCATCATCGCCCGACAACAGTGCGACGCGTCACGGTAAATTAGACGCAAAGAGCAACGCGCCTCGCACACGTATATACAACGCTGCTCTTTGCTTTCTGTCTGTCTCTGTCTCTCGTTCTCGGTCTCTTTCGCTCTCGCCGCGTATATATTCCGCTGGACTCTATCGAAATGGTCTTATTTTATCGCTCGACTTGGATTCTCTTCGATACGTACGTATGCGCCAGTGCAAAATTAAGCCACGATTCAACAAGCGATTTTTCCTGGAAAACTCTCGCGAAAAATAGATTCTTAATCTCGCCGATCGAGCGAGCTTGTAAGTTTCGCGCGCTTTATAAGGCCTGCGTGTGCGTGCGCGCATGAGCTCGCGCACAGTGTTACGTATGTATGTATACATGCCACAGGGAGGGCATTTATCTCATAATTTTCCGTACATAAAGTGCATACATGCCAAATTGCTTTCAAGCATTAATTCTCTGATAATATTATAATGGTTCGGCGTATATAATACACGCATGTATGAGCACATTTCGAATTCGTATGAATTTTGCATCTACCGAATATGGAATATCAAACATTATCCTTAAATTATTCTCTCGCTTTCGGGATAATAAGCCTCCGCCGCGCGCAAGTCCCGAGGAAAAAAGCTTAGCAAGTGTGTGTGTGTGTGTGTGTGTGCACAGATATAGAGAGAAATTAGATGAATATTATGCACTGCGCATTTGTAGTTTTGACGTCAAGCTCCGAGCACGCGAGAATAGCCAAGTCGAAAGCGCCGGATTTTTCGAATCGAGAGCACATCGAATCAAACTCGCTGCGTAGACTGAGCGTGCCAACCGCACGGGGTTGCATCCACACAAGGCGCCCGACTGATCGTTCAAGGCTAGCCCGTAATGTACACACGTATGCTGCACATGAACGCGCATGGCCATCGATTCGTTCGGATGATAAAAATAGTGCAACTCATAGAGCAGCCGCGGCAGTAGTTTCATCAGCTTTTAGCCTTTTATTTTTCCGGCTCGATCTTTTTACGAGACACAATAATGGCTTGCCAAATAAATGTCAACTGCATCGACTTCTAAGGCTGACCTACTCAAGCCATAAAGCTTTCGCGTGGACAAAAAATAAGCATAAGTTATAACGCCTCATATTTTACGTTTAGGGGCGTTAAATAATTTGGCACGACACGACTAGAAGAAATGCGTTTATTTTTCGATCGAACAATTTTCAAGAATAGTCTCGAGCTGCAGCTTTTGATAGATTTACTTTTATTTCGTTTTGAAAATGCGCTGCGCAGCAAAAACAAATCGTTACTCAAGAGCGCGAAAATGTTTAAATTAATAAGAGCAGTGGAAGAAAAAAAAATAGCAGAACCGGTCCGGCTGGGTCGGAAGAAGAGCGGCGAGCGCATCGAAGATCGTTCGATGTTAAGATCCAATTTTTCACAGACACACTCTTTGGGCTCCTTTAATTAAAACATCAAATTGATTGCCGGGTGAGCGTTGGCGCCTCGTCTTCTCGGCATGGCGAGCTAAAATAAATGAAAATGAAATCAATTATAAAACTGTTTGAGGAGCCTTCGAGGCACTCCTCTCGAACTGCTGCTCTGCTTTTCTTTCCAATCGCTACGCTGTATATGGGTGTGTGTGTGTGTGTGTGTACGTACAGTCGGGCTCGATCTTGAATTTTCTTAATTAAAAATTCGCAGGGTCGAGCTTTGCTTTCAATTAAAAACCAACTAGCCTTTTCTCTTACTCCCTTTTTTCTTTTGATGCTATAAGAGCATATACACGGCCGGTTTTAAAAATAACCATGTATCTCGGTGCAGCAATCCCGAGTCTCCATTTTTCTTCGACCCCTACACATAATGCCAGTGACCCCCTGGATGCAAACAACTGCGGATTGGCTGACAGGAAAATATGAAGAAAAAAAACGCCGGCGATGCTAATCCGAGCGTGAGCGTACTCAATCTCTTTCGGTAAGTTTTTCCCTTCTTCTCGCGAGCAGGAGACATTCTTTTCGCAACTGTCGGCCCAATTTATTATAGCCTTAAATCTCGGCCGCTCGGTTCGTTCTTCTTCTTTCTTAACGCAGTCGCGACTATATATATCCTTTGTCCGCCTTCACTTTTACGAAAACTTAACTTTGCGTGCCCGCGAAAATTTCATTATAAGCGCGGACGACGTCGTGGTCGAGCGATAAGACTACTACCACTACTACTTGCTTGCACGTGAAATATTGCAGGCTTCAGAAATCTTCTAGCGCGAGCCTTTTTACTTGCTACACGTTCTCTCGCCGAGGAAGAGAGCTGCTAATTGGCGAACGAGCCCAGCGAGAGAGAGAGAGAAAGAGAGACAGGATTAGCCGCCTGAACATCCAAGAAAGAGACAGTATCTCGACCGAGCGAGGATTTTTACAAGTGCAGGAAAATTTCACCGAATAAAGTTTCCACTGTCGCTCGCTGCGACTATCTCTTTCCGAAAGTTTGCGCGGTGCTGTTCAACTTTTTTGCCCTTTGATTCGCGGCTCGGGAGTCGGGCAACTTTTCAGAACTGTATTTTTGCCACGAAAAAATTACAAACGCGATGGGAAAGAGGATCTGAATCAAGGGAAGTCAAAAATACGAGAGAACAGACGTGATTTACCGATATTATTATACAAAAATTTTGCTATATTTATGAGAGACTTTTGCTACGGAACACGAGTTATTCCCACAGAAATGCAACACAATGTGCGCGTACATTCGTTATCTGCAAGCAGCAAAAAATGACAAGCACAGACATATGTTTCGCTCGAGCATAATTACCTTAACATAGAAGTCTATTTCAGAAATATAGTGCATTTAGCGGAAGTCTTTTATTTGAAATCGAGCATTCACAAGCCCAAGGTCTATATTCTCAAATAACGATGCACTGTAGAAATCGAATCATCTTGGGCGCTCAAAAACAAGCCACATTTTCCAGTCAATTTTTCTCTATATATTCCGATATTTTGTCGATTCAAGGTCTTACACGCGTTCGCAACAAAAAGTCATGTACGATTTTTTTTTCTTATTCAATCACGTGCACCATATTGTGATCGTGAGGACCGGCGACTGTTAGCCTCTTGTATATGGCTTTCAATGAATGGCACACGGATGCACGCATACACTCAATTAGCTTGCTTATGAAGAAACGACTTTTGTTACGTATACCACTCGTCTCGTCCCTTTCGTCCGAAATTTTATCGTATCATCTCGATACAACTACTTTTAAAGAAAAATTTTTTTGGAGCGTTCTATTAAATCACTGTAATAATATTTTTCGGTAAGAAATGTTTTGTAGATAACTTTTAGTTATACGCGCAGATGATAAATTGCTTAGACACAAAATTATTTCTATACCGTATTTTTCTTACCTTTACAGTAGAAGCTTTCCAATTCAAGATAAGCCGAAATTTTTCAAAATTCACCCCTAAAATCAAATTTAACCCCTATTAAAATTAATTATAAACATTAATAATTTTTCAGAGCATTTTTCGGTAAAATAAGAAAACATATAAATTATTTACATCTCAGGATACGATGTATATTTATTTATAATTTAACATATACTCATATGATCTTCGAATTATTCAATTCAAGCATTTACTATAGAAATGATTAATTACTCTCATTTCAAATACTTGAGTAATTTTAATTGAAACATTTGATGGTTATAATCTTCAACAATTTCAACGTTTTTGTTACTCGTTTGTTTTTTGAAAATCACAAATCCTCTATGAAGACCTCCGGTTATTGGTATAATCTCTCCTTTGTTACGTTTCGTTATTATTTTTTTTGGCCAAATCGCAGAAGATAGTGCTAGGGAGTCGTCTGATATCCACTCACCATTCACAGATTTAATGGCTATTTGTTCAGCTTTGTTCAAGAACTCAATGATTTCGGAGTTTCGTTGTGAACCGAGTATATGTGCTCTCCAGTCCTGCTTACCATAAATTTATTATAAAAAATATTAAGAAATAAAAGAGATTTTGGCAAACTTACCATATGAATTTTATGTTTTCTCCTTGTGCATCCTGGGAAAATGGTTATCGGCGTTTGTTTAGTGTTTTTGAAAAATAAGTGTACACTTTCAGGATCTAATCCATAATTAAAATCAGGGGCCGGTGCTCCATTGCCTAATGGACAAGCACCCATGCTCCAAAATTTCTGCACATTTTCGGCAAGCTGAGGATCCAACTGCACCGCCCTCGCAACATTAGTTAGCGGCCCGAGTAATACAATGTTTAATTTCTCTTGAAAAAAATATTTCATTTAAATAAAATTACGATGAACAAGTAAAACTCGAAATAATGGTATACTTGGATAAAGTTTGGCATAGTAAGACATTGCTTCTGGAGCTGTCATTGAACGATCCACTTCAGCGGTTACTTCTTTCGCAAACTCCATATCACCCATACCATCTATTCCGAAAAAATTTGTGGGTTTATAACTACGAGATTTCAGAGGTTTTTTCGATCCACTATAGACTGGCACCTGAAGAATATTCCATTATTGAAAGTTTGCTTTTTAGATGTTTTGTTTTATTTTACTTACATCCGTTCTACCTGCTATCGTCAAAATCTTTAAAACATTTTTTTCGACATTTTCCTCTACTGTATTACCATAAGTACAAGTAATGGCTACCACATCTACCATGTCAGAAGCTTTAAGAGCTAACATGAGGGCTACTGCATCATCGCTACCTGCATCGGTATCGATGAGTAATTTCAATCGATCATGAACTGCACTGTTGATAATAAAAAAAGTTTAAAAAAGTTATTATTCTCGTATCTATTCGATAGGAAAAGTATTGATAGTATAATTACTGTATGTCAGGAATCAAAAGGCCCAGAAATGCAAGAATAATCTTGAAATCCATGATTACTCAGTAAACAACAAAATTTGTTGAATGAATATTTTGAAAAGAAATTTTTGTGCACCAGATAAATTTTTGCAATTTACGTAGTCAACAAAATAGTACTGACTACGCACGAAACAATAATGATAGCACGAGTATATAGATATTGGCTATTCGTGCAGGCGCGCGCCGTAAAATGTTCTGATTTCACGATTTATTTAAAGGTATAAAAAGTACTACTTTTGTGCTTTACGATTGCCAATTGTCGACGAAAAAACGCTCTGAATTTCCCGTAAACTCTTAATAGATACAAAGCTCGAAGTCGATTCGAAAAGTTTACACGTGGCAAGCGAAACGTGTAAAATGTACAGCGGGGCATTCAATCAAAGCAAAGGCTCGCGTTCGGAAGCTGCAACAAAGCATTATCATACGCGAGGCAAAAAGTTGTGCATAAATTATTTGCAAAATTTACCACGACAGGGAAAATCCTCTCTTTTCGATGAAATATTACGCGAAAAATCAAATTTCGCATAAAACACGCAAAGAAATTTCACGTGATTCATAAACGCAGCGCAGCAATTTTATACTTGCGCTTCCAGTATATAGGCAGCGAACGTGATGAAAAATCGTATTTATCATGCTATATTTTCGTTGCATTATACTCATTTTAAATTATAATGATAACGTCAAAGACATTACGAATATTTACATTATATATGCATATTTTCCAAATTGAGCCTGCTCGCGCACAGGGGGTCCGCTCGAAAATTTTCATAATTTCTTCGATATTTATACACATAAATTTTAAATTACAATCAAAATATATTATCATTGCGCTCTTCGGCCGTAGCAAGAGTCGATAAAAATCGAGTTTTTCCGCTTTTCTTCAGCGCAACGCGTTCAAACGCACTCTAACGCACACGGAGCAGGCAGCCTGGCTGAATTCCTCTGCATAAGCCTATATTTGGACGCGCAGCTGCGTACACGGCATATTATATAGACCGTCGTAGGTCATGGCACCTGAATTCGCGCTTGCACATGCACTCGTTGCGCTGCTCGTTGCGCGCGAGAGGGGCTCGACGCGTACACAGACGCGTACGTAGGCTCACGCACACGCACATGACCACAACGCAGCTTTCCTGCTGGCCACAAGTATCGATTGCCCATGCAGAAAGCGCATTCTCTGCACTCGCTAGCCACCGCTGTGCTGCGCCGTGCCGTATATATACCCGCTCTCTGTCTCTCTCTCTACGACCTGCCAAGAAAATAACGCGAAAACTGACCCTGCGCAGCTCGAGTGTACGCTACGCGTTTTTCGGGGTGCATTTTCTCCTCGAGGGTGCATGCGTGCATTCACCCCTTATGCAAGCGCCGCGCTCGGGTTCGATGAATTTTCGATTAGTCAAAAATTTCGAGGAGGACTCGGCGCAGCTCGAGCAGTAGAGGGTTCAACAAACGAGAAATTGCAACCAATTTCAATGTTAATATGTATCTGAGCAAGGGAGCTATGCTGCCAGCCAGTCAGCAATCTTTAAAGTGCGTCTTGCTTCGTGTCCATTTAGAAAAAGCGTTGGATTAGTTTCTCATTTAAATTTTAAACGTTTGATTTTTCGAGTACAAGCGCGCGCAAACCTTTCTTTTTGGACATTTTGAATCGCGCAGGAAGCGAAAGGGTGATGTCTTTTGTTTTTACTAATTACCCACTGGCAGGCAGTTCGCCTTAGCACGGGCTCTCCGATCATTAGGCCAGCAGCCAAGAGAGGTTTTCCTCGCGAAACCTTTTTCCAGCTCACTAAGAAAGCCGTTCGAAGAAAAGGATCTTTCAATTGTTCTCGGTATTTTTATACTTTTTCTCTGTTTTTCAATTGATAGAGCGTCGTCGCTATACACATACTTATCAACTCCTAAAACGGTATTAAATTTTTCGGACCTTGGATTTATTTTTATATCAAGCGATCCACAAACAAAGTCGAAAACAAAGAAAAGTTAGGCAGGAACAAAAGTCTGGACGGAATGTAAGCACATTACCCCCTGCGCATCCGAGAGTATAAAGAGATGCGCATCGGTTGTTTTTTTGTCGAAGTACATCTATTTTTGACGAATTCTTTGCGCTCATAGATAATAGGCGCTCTGACAATACCTCCTGTCCAACTAGCCTTCGGGACAAACATACTAACTAGAGGTGACCTAGGCCTTTGGGTATCTTTTTGTCCGCTAGTCACACTTCTGGCCGGGCTTCGTAATTTGCATGAATAGCGAAGCCGCAGCTGTGTATGGACGCGTGCGCGGCTAGACAAAAAATTGCAGGGATGATTGGTCAACGCCGTGTTACAGACAAGGCGCGCGTATATATCTGCTCTCCCTCATTGTCGCGTTACATTATAATACGCACATATAAAAGTACGCAGCAGTCCGATGGCTAGCTCCCCTTGAGCCCGTGTAATGAATTTTTTTAACCTCCGAATATGCGACCGACCATTTTGCATACATACGAAAGAATATACGTCTCGACGCGGAGATTTTTGTGTTCCGCCCTACATAAACACAGCGAGCTAGGCCTTTTATCGTTTGGCCATTTGCCCGACGCTTTTTATAAATACTGTACGTGTACCGCGCGCGCGCGGCCGGCGCAATATGTTTTCTAGACGAATATCAGCTAAACTTACCCGCGCGTACTCGCAGGCCAATAAAACTGCGAGCTCTGGCCTACTACCTATACCAGAGCTATATGGATGCGGCTCGTGTAGCATTCCTTCGCCAAGCTGCACGCAAAAGTTTTCTATTTCACATGCACGACTAGAGCATCTCGTTATAGTTGGGATTCGCGCGAAACGTGGCAAAAAATATTATACGTACATCTGACTCCTTAACGATGCTCCTTAGGCTCAAGGAGAGCGAGCAAAAAAGTATACTACTATTATCTAGGCTCTCTTGCCAGACTTCTCTCTTCCGTTCCCTTTTACTCGAGCGCGCGTCTAGGTGCGAAAAGGGGCAAATGGAAAAGAGTCGCACGAGCAGCTGCGCACATAAGTTTGTTAACGTGTACTCGACGTATATCTCTCTCTCTCTCTCTCTCTCTCTTTCTCTCGCTCTGCCTCGTCCCTCTCTTTCTCTCGCCGCCCGAAGATGAGAACCACAGAACGCAGAGTCCATGCACGTAGTATCCTGCATGATGCATGCGCACATGATGCCGGGGCACGTAATTGCATCGATTGTCTTAAGGGCGTCATTGGCAACAGCCGTTAGTATATATTGTGCACGTGTGTGATGATGCCTTTCTCTCGGCGCAATGAATGACCGCGAACGCATCGACGTGTGCACGTATATATGCCTGCACTCGCTCGGGATATATATTATCTTATACATACACGAATATTTCGTTTGTATGCTCGCATGTACGCGTTTACACTTCCGAGCAAGCAGAGCACTGGCATTGCTTGACCCGTATACATGATGTATATAAAAATATTTTTTATCCTCGGACGCGTAGATATAAAGGGGAAAGCGCGCCCCACTGGACAAAGGCAGCCTCGTACACCGAAAATTAGCATAAGGTCCGGAGGACGTCTAGAGTTCGCAAAAAATCACGACAGGGAATGATGACGATGATAGTCCGTGCGCTGCGAGCAAAGGAAAATAAAAATGAGATTTCGAGCTGGCCGGCCGGCTGGCGATGTCCCGCTGGTTATAAAAATTTTTTCTCGAAAAATAAGCTGGGGGAAAAGAATTGCGAGAGACGATTCAGCAGCAGTAGCAGTATACTCGGTTACAACCCTTCCGCAACGTGCCTGCGTACACTGTATGGAAGAGAGAGAGAGAGAGAGAGTAGAGTATCTCTCTCGCAGTCGTGGACACTCTGAGCGCGCGTATATACACGCGGTGAATAATTCGCGCATTGTTCGAGCCAGGATGTGCAACGATATCTCGGGCATTCGCGGGTGCAGGGATGCAGCAGCAGCAGCGCCGGAATTTCGTTGGGTTATTTTGACAGGGCTTTTTGTAGTGCGTGCACTGCACGATATGTGTATATGCGCGCCTGGCTGAGCTTTTAGCGCCGTACTCTCTTTCTCTCTCTCTCTCTCTCCCTCTCTCTCACTTCGCTGTAGTGTACATGCGTGTTCGTACATACATGCAGCTATAATAGAAGCAGCGGAGAAAGAGTATTTTATATTTTGATTGTCGCACGCGGATGTGTCGGTGGCTGCACCGCTCGCACACTGCCTGCACCGGAAAAAATATTTGTTCCATGACTAGTTTATGCGCGTGCGGATTTTCGTGTTATTTTTTATCCGACCGTTTTCACCCCCTTCCGCTTTGAGAGTCATTCGATAAGCCAAACAGAAAGATAATCACATTTCGCGTCGCACAAACTCTCGGGTCGCGAGCACGTGGCTATGAAATTCCTCAAATTTGAATTTTGTAGCGCGAATGGGAGGGAGAGAGGAAATTCAATCGTTCAAAATGATAATGATAATGAAAATATTAACGTGGGCGCGAGCGCGCGCGAAAACCGGCGTACATCTCGTCTCTTTCATTACTTTTGGACTATTTTTCCGATTGCGCTCGCTCGCTCTCGTGCACGCCGCTGAAATCACAAATTCATCCGAGCTCGAGATTTAGCCCCTGCAGCAGCGGGGCCGGGGAGAGGGAATTTTGTACGTGAAACGTTATTATTTAACTCATCGCATTATATTTCTCGACGGATGCGTGTGTGTGTGTGGAGCATTTTTCCTCGGCAGGTTGCTGTTGGAGCAGCAGCAGCAGCAGCAGCGATCGACTCCCCCCTGTTACCGATAATTATGATATTTTAATCAACGAAAAAGCGACTTTTCAACGAAGGAACGGAGTATGAGAGAAAGAGCGAACAAATCCAATTTTATTATAATATGTGCGAGTGGCGATTCGAATTTCCGACATTGCGATAATTCGCCGCTGCCGCCACAAGAGCAATAGTATATAGTAAGCTCCACTCGACCCACACTCTCCCACGCGTAAATACATAGCGCGCGCGCGCACACAGATGAACCTCTTCAGTTCTCTCTCTCATCACCTCTTGTGCAATTACAAAATTCGAAAATTAACA